CGTCCGCTGGCCCCCGTCGCTGACAGACTCGGGTCCGTGTTCTGAGTATAACTTGCCAAACTCTTTATTCTTTCGATATTTGCAGATATGTGCCACTGTTTCCAACTTTTCATCAACAAAAAGGCCTTTCCAACTCCTTCCAAATTAGAAGATCCAGGTGGTTACACACGGCACCTCTGTACAAATTCTCTCACTTTTCATTGCCTCTCCAGGGCCGGATAAGGGATGGGCACTGGGATTGATCTAAGATTAGAGGCTCGCCCGCCCTCCAGCCAGCATGGGTCCCCCCCTCGGAGACACGCAGGAGCCTTTTAAATCCCCCCAATGTAAAGTCTAGGAAGCGCTGAGACGGCCTGCGCCTGCACTTTAAGCTGGGACATTTCTGGGCCTGCTGGATGCTGTCTAGGCACTTTCCATGCTCGGGGACGCCAGGCGGACGACCCCCATGGGACGGGAAGACCTGCAGACCCGCCGGGACCGGGCGACAGCAGCGAGTGGAGCTGGATGGGCCCAAAGACGCTTTGCTGCTGCCTGCGGGAGCTGCTGTTAGCGCCTGCCGCTAGCACCCAGCTCCTTCCTCCCTACCGCACCTCCTGCAGCCTGCATGGACTCCTGCTCCTCCTCCTCTTCCTCCTCGCAGCAGAGCGGCCATCTATGTCTCTTTAGTTTTCTTCTCTTTCAATCTCTTTGTTTTGTTCTGGGCCCAAAAGCGAGTGAATCGGTGTCCCAGGCGCGTGGGGCTCGTGTCCCTTTCTGATCCAAAGCACATGGGGCGCTCCCGGACCGAGGGGGTGTGTAGGACGCTCCAGAGAGACGCTGCCGCTGCCCTTCTGCCATTGTTGTGATTCTGAATGTATTGATTGTGCTCCATGCCGTGTATGACTTGATATTTTCCTCTGTCCTAAGCACTTTGAATGAGTTCTGCTCAACAGACTGTATATTTCATATTGTATTTATTGGAGTTTGCTCGCACCGCAGCTGCCCTCGGGGGCTGGCGGGTTTTGCTCTCAACTCTCTAGACGTGTGATAGATATTTATTGTCCATGCTCTTTTGTAAGGGGCTGGTATCTCTGCCCGGTGACCTGTGCTACTTTGTATGGTGCAAGTGTGTTAACAGAATAAATCTGTTGGATTAGTAGAGGTGTGAGTTCCTTCACTGCCTTAGCCTCTCCTGCTTCCATCCATGCTCCACCTGCATCCCATGCCATCTCTGTCTGTCGCCATGTCCTGTGTGCCCCCGCGGGAGGTGGGTCAGAGGTAGCCCCGTTCTGCCAGGAGGACAGCTCCGCTTGCCGTTGTGGGGGGAGAGGACAGCTCGCCAGGGGACAGGCGGCGGGGAGGAGGGGGCTGGAGTGTCCCTAGAGGGGACGGGTGAGACGCTGGCTGCTCCATGCGCTGGGAGACCTGGCCTGGGGGAGAGGGGTCCGCTCTGGTCTGCTCTGGCAGCCCGCTGGGGATGGTGGGGCCGTGCGTTTCCGTCTCCCGTGCCCTGTCTCTAACGGACCTCTGTCTCTTCTCTTCCAGTCTCGAAAGGGCGCGGACCCGGAGCGGGAGAAGAAGGTGCCGGAGTGTAAAGCGGACAGTATCGGCAGCGGGCGGGCCATTCCCATGAAGCAGGTTCGATCCTCTTCCCTTCACCCCGACGCGAGAGCTCCCTGGGGAGGTGCCACGGGGCTCTGCGGTGCGAGACGGGGCGCCTTTGCTCAGCACGAGGCACGGGCGAGCGCGGAGGAGACGGGTGCCCCTCAGCCTGGCCGAGAGGGTGCCCCGGGGGGCTGCATGCCCACCTGGGCCTGGGGAGCGCTCTG